GCATAATTTAAAAGGCTCTACAATAATATTTATTCCTTGAAAATTACTTTAGATATAAGCCTTCTGTGCCCGCTCTCAATCTATGGTCGGCTTTTCAGGTGAACGAGTTATACAGCAGAGATTTACATCATCTCCTCTATCTCTGGATGCACCTGTTATGGCACCTGCATCCAAGAAATACAGTTTAGACGTCACAACGAGACGAAGATTAGTCAAGGCTCATGGTGTGTTTTCTAACAAAAAATTTGCCCAAGAACTTGGTTTGCTCCCATTTAAGTTGCTAATTCAAAGTTTATCCTTACTTTTTGTTTTTCTAGCTATACTCATGGTGCTCTCGTGGTTCTTTTTCGTTCCAACAGCATTCGTATTCGCTCGATTCTTGAAGGGTGCTTTCACAGGTGTTAAACCAGGTGGCGTTTCTCTGTGGTTCCAGGTCAGTTCGTAAACCGAATTAAATTGAAGAACAATTATTGTGTTTCTAATAACAGTCAATGTACGAAGGAAGTATGTTAAAAGCATAGCCTAAGTGTAGTAAATAATAAATAGAAGCGAAAATTCATTTAAGGAATAATAACGGCTTAAAATTTCATGAAATCAACCTAGAGTGATAACCTCCATATCCCAAAACCTTCAGGTTCATCGAGTCTCCAATTTCATAGCTATCGCGCTGATGGTTGCTTCCTTTGTATGCGTCTTGACTAGTAAAGATTGGCGTTGGACTGGTCCAGGTGAGCACGAGTGTTCTCCATTCACAAAAGCTTTTGATTCTTTGACAATTGAAGCATTGTTGAAGTTGGTAAGCAAGCGAGGTAAGCAAAACCATTTAAATAAGACGTCAATCATGTGGTTCCTTTGAATATCTACATGGTAGTGCGTGATCCAATAATTCGAATCTACAATTTGCAGCTTCTTAGATTTGGGGAATTGAGCTCCTACATAATTGAGATAAGCGAAAGGACAGCATCTTAGCTAGAGCGTCAGCTTTATAACTTCATTTATCTAAATTGGACAGTTTTTTTAGTCTAACTTTTACCTATAATTTATACTAAAAAGCAGTAGTCGACGTGAATGTGCTTTTGAGAAGATTCAAATTGAACGATATCTGAGGTAAAAGTGTTCCGAAATGAGATTATGAAACTT